GAGAGAGCGAGCGCATTCTTCCTGGCTGTCTAGCCCTGTTTGTGAGAAGGCTGAGAACTGGAATTTGCCAAGAAGAATTGAGTAGGAATACACGAAGTGAGCACTGGGAGGCAGACGGGCACCTCTAGATAAGTGCGGTCTTGGGGAGCACTGCCATGAGCACATTAAGGCTGAGAATAACTTGTTACCTTACACTCATAGAGCTGCATAAATTACTATTATTTTTTCAATAAAAGGAAGCAGTTACTGGCTCTGTGTAGGCCTTTAGCTCTAAATCCAGGAATTCCCAAATTGAATAAATGATATTAGTTGGAATAAATCTCTACTGACTTAAGGAATAATAATCCAATGAACAAGTTTACCTTTCCAGAAATTAGGCACTGCACAGTGTTCTGAATGGAATAGAGCTGATCCTTCAAGAACATGGTCTTGAACTGAGTGGGTGCACTTACACACGGGCTTTTCAATAGAGTTGGCCCTTACTATAGTGGATTCAACCAACTCAGGATCAAGACCAGTATTTACACATTCCCAACTACTGTTTCCGATCGTGGATTCCCAACCACAGATGGAAAATACTGTTTTTGATCTTCGGTTGGTTGAATGTGCAGATGCAAAACCTGTGGATGCAAAATGTGCTGATGCAAAGGGCTGTCTCTAGTTCAGTTTGGGGTGAGTAAAAAGTTATACCCGGATTTTTAACCACGGGGGTTGGCACTCTACCTCCTTGTATTGTTCAAGAGTCAACTGTATATCTTTTTATTGTTTTGCCAGTGGTTTAATTTTCAATCTTGCTATTGCTTGTTTGTCATCCCCCTCAATTCATATGTTAAAATCCTAGTCCCCCCAAAAGGCATGGTATTAGTAGGTGGGACTTTCGGGAGCTGCTTGAGTCTTGAGGATTGGAGCACTCATGAATGGGATTAGTGCTCTCATAAAGAGATCCCATAGAGCGCCTATCACCTTCTGCCAGGGGACAACACAATGAGAAGTCTGCAACCCAGAGGAGGACCCTCACATACTTATTGGCACCCTAATCTCAGACTTCCAGCCTCCAGAACAGCGAGTAATAAATGTTGACTGTTTATAAGGCACCTGGTCTATGGTATTTTGTTATAGCATCCTGAAAGGACTAGAATCAATCTTACATTTAAACAGAGTTTACTGGATGAGACATATAGAATGTTATTTCACTTATTCAACACACATTTGTTCTGACCAATCCTAATAAATTAGATGAATTTTAATAATGATTATCTCCTTTAAAAACAATTATTATAAAAACGCTCCCAAGTTCTAAAAAACAAGGATGCATTTTGTTTATAATTAATATGCTACAATTTTTTTTTGCGAGTCTACTTTACTTTTTGTGAATTCTTAACTTCGTATTTCCATAATTGGTACATAACTAGGTTTCCTTTAAAAAAATTTTCATAATTTTAAAATGGTGCTGCCCTTTTCTAGAGAATATATAAACATATGGATAATGAAGCAGTCAAGGAGAGATTTGAAATAACCTTCCTGAGCTTCTAAATAGTTCTTATAAGATGGCTTTTCCCCCTGTTGGTTTAGTAACTGAGAACTGAAAGGCACTTGCCCAATGGGCCATTATTTCAGTCAGTGGCCCCAGCCGACCACCCTGCCTGTGGTGGGTGGGGATCATAGAGCAGATGGCATATTATGGAGATGTCATTAGGAGCAATTATTCCACTGCTGAGTATTAGTATTCTGCACTTTGTGATGCATGGTAAGCCTATGTTGTGTAGTACTTCAGAAATAGAAAATCTTACAAAAGTAAACCAACAAAGTAATTGTCAGGGAGTTTGCCCTTTGTCCTTATTTCTTTGAGAAAAGAAAGCTATTTTTCTGATCATTTTGAAATTAGCCAGTATCTCTGATTAGGACTCCTAAAAAAAGGAAGAATTTTGAGTTAATTTTTCTATTTGGCTAGGAATCCAGGGATGTTGCCTTAAATGTTCTACCGTCTAGACCAGTGGTTCTCAACCTTCCTAATGCCGCGACCCTTTAATACAGTTCCTCATGTTATGGTGACCCCTAACCATAAAATTATTTTCATTGTTACTTCATAACTGTAATTTTGCTACTGTGATGAATCTGATATGCAGGATGTATTTTCATCGTTACAAATTGAACATAATTAAAGCATAGTGATTAATCACAAAAACAATATGTAATTATATATGTGTTTTCCGATGGTTTAGGCGACCCCTGTGAAAGGGTTGTTCGACCTCCAAAGGGGTCGCGACCCACAGGCTGAGAACCACTGCTCTAGACTAACTGACAAAAATAATGTATTATTCTAGGGATTTCTTTAAAAAATGAGAATGCGCATGTATTAAAATCCATTCAAAAATATAAATGCATCAGTTGGCTATTGCTGCTCTAGCAAATTGCCACAGATTCAAATTTAGTGGCTTAAAACAACACAAATGTATATCTCATGATTCTGAAGGCCATTAATATCTCTGTCCTAAAATATTATGATTCCATATAAGTGTCATGAATTCAAAATATCTCTAGATTTTAGAAATGAGAACTATAAATATTGATTTCACTCTCAGTATGTATTATCTCATATTTATTACTGCCTTTTTTTACTCACATATAACTGTTCTACATAAGTCCATTTAAGATGTTTTTGCATATGCTGCACACACATCCATTAGTTTCTATTTTGCAAAGCTGTTTCCTTCTCCAGTCCATGGTCTTCTGTTATAAGCAAGTTATTTCAAATTGCGTTGCAAGGACTTCTTTAAAGGTGGTATTATTTTACTATGTCATTGTATGTACCCTTTGCACATTTTCACAATCAGGATTCAAAAGCAATTACTATAATTGGTTGCTGGGTATAAATAGGATATGTTGGCTGTAAAGAATCAGCCTTAAAAATTATTTTTTGAAATGCTGAATTTGGTTGTGTAAGAGAGAAGTTTCTCAGTATAATGCTCATTTGCAAGCAGGGCAAAACCCAACTATGAGGAGTGTTAAAACGTAAGTTTCTGGTTTTTCAGGAGATAGTTATTTTTGAGTTTTGCTTTGGCCGCTGGCCCTAAATCAAATACTTAAATGTGTTCAGAAACAAAGATATTTCTGGCTATTGAAAGAAAGAGCACAGTGGATGCAGGTGAACACTTGGCTTTGGCTACAGCTGACAGTTGATTTTGTTCTTGAAGGAAACTCGGTGGCTTTTTTAGCTCACTCTTAGAGCAAAGAGTGTTCCTGGAAGATCCGAGATCGGGTTTATAAAGTTTATCACTAAATCAATAACATAGGGATAAAGAGGTTGAGCCAAGTTTTATTACACATGCTGAGCTTAAAATTCGTTTTATTTTAGCCGCACAGTCTGAATGACTACAGAGTGTTCTCAGTTAATAAATTAGTTACAGCATAAAAATACTTCAAGGTAAGCCATCTACCGGGTCCAGTCCAAAAGAAAATTCTTTACTAGTCAGTTATTTTTTCCCCTGGCAGGTATCACTTGTCTTGCTTTAGCCTTCTCCTGTAGGTAAGGCAGAGAGAAACTGACTTTAGTCTAATTACCAACTTTTGGTGGTGGTTAGGGCTGAGGCACAGACAGCAGAATGGTGAGGGACCCAAGAATTGGTCACCGTGGAGGTGTGCTTCATGGTACTCTGAACTCTAGGCCAGGAGAGGATGACCTGTCCTTGTCTGGTAGGAGCTCGCTCATATATTTCCATTTATAGGTTCTACATACCCTTACGGTTGGTAAGATTTCCACACTATCGTAAGCTTTATGGAAAGAAGCTGATGTGAACTCTGCTCCATTGGTACTTTTGAAGATACATGGGGCATCTAGCAGGCAGAAAATATATTATTTGGTGTGTAACATCAGCTGTAGTCAGAAGATAGAGGACTCGGTGCACAAAAAAATGACTAAGGGAACATATAGATTTGTTACATTCACTACATACTCTAAATTAGATCTACCTGCAAGGTAAGCCATCTACCGGGTCTAATATTATGGAAGCATCCTTTGTGATTGCTTAGCTACTATATTCTGACAAGTAATAATTGGGGATTCAAGGAATAAAAAAATAGATAAAAACTAGTGTTCAGTTTCTCTGAATATCTTCAACCCATTTTTTCACGCAAATGAAGCTTTCTAAAAATGTTCACATTACTCATGCTTGTAATCAAATTTACATGTTTATTTGCTCATTTCAAAAATCTAAGGCGAAAGTTATATTTGTAATGTGTACACAGAATGTGGATATAAGCATTACCTATGACACCCAGCTATCAGTCCTGTTATTTTATACATTAGTCCAGACTTTGTGAACAAGAATTTGGCTGAAATCAGTGACTCTTTCTCTTTCAAATGTAACCATGAAAGGTCTAATTTGGATATCTCATGAGCTAAATCTTCTTAAAGAATTGCTGGCAATAATGTGCCTTTATTATTCTTTTATAACTCTAAAGTCCCCTGTTATTTTTCCCAAGTCACCTATTTTATAGAATTTGCATACTATATTAAACATGAGAATATGTGTCTTCATTATCAAAAAGTATATATGGTCATTTTTACAATACAGAGAGCTTTCAAGAAAATTTCACTAGAGGCATTTCAGATGCTCTTAGATACCCACTAAAATAAATGGTTCTAGAAACTAAATGCAAAGCTGAAAATATTTTACTCCAGGTGTGAGGTAGCAAGCAGCCCGATATTTTATTCTGACAGACCAGGAGAGTGAATTTTGAATAGAACCACAAGACATATGTATGAGAAAAGTGTGTGGCCTTCTTTGGAGGCGTATAGATCACTGAAAACTCAGGGAAAGCCTCAGAAATAAAATGACTCTTGTCGATAGTAATGAGTGATGATTGTGTGGGATGGAAGGCTCACAAGGATGTCAGTGGCTTTTGTTATAATTCAGAGAAGCCCCCCAAAATAGCACATAAGATTCTAAACTCTTTAAAGCAGAAGTCCCCTCCCCCCCACTTTCCTTCTTTCATTGCAGGATTACAGAGTGAATATCTTTCTTCGTCAGAAATGGAACGACCCTCGCCTTGCATATAGTGAATATCCGGATGACTCTTTAGACCTAGATCCTTCCATGTTGGACTCCATTTGGAAACCTGACCTGTTCTTTGCCAATGAAAAGGGTGCCAACTTTCACGAAGTTACTACAGACAACAAACTGTTAAGAATTTTCAAGAATGGAAATGTTCTTTATTCAATAAGGTGAGTTACAGACTTAAATTCCTGATTTGGTTGGAAAAGTGTTGGGTTTTCTTTATTTGCTTTTAGTGAGTGTTTTGAAATTTTTGATTAACTGCTTTCATTGTTCCACCTAAGTTACTTTAATGTACTATTTCCAAATATGTCTAATCAACAATAGCAGACCCAAGTTTTAGATCCAGAAACTGTATGAATAATTCTTGGAAATCCGCTTTTTAAACAAATAGCCTAGGTAATTAATCAGCCAGGTGGGCGAGTGGTTTAAGGGCAAATGAAATGAAATGAAATGGTAGCCAAATCATACATTGTGATTACTAGTATGTTTTTATGTATCATACTCTTGTAATATTTACAGGTGAAGAAATATAGAGATTTAGAGATTTGTTTCTCTGAGATCCATTTTCCATAAATTATTTTTCAATGATATATATTTTTTTTAGATTTCCTGAACTTCTCTGACTATCCTTTAGAAAAGATTTTATTTACATTTTAGTTATTTGGAAGTTAATTCTTAGAAGATCATGTAGCCTTTTACAACTAATACCAAAATATAACAATAATTAATACCAAAACACAAACATCATGCTAATGTATTGTGTTTTTCATATTTTCCTATCTCATGTGAATAAATTTCCTTTCAGTACATACATTACTTTCTAAGGGTGAAAAGGCGACATCACTCTACTCTTAACTGACACTTGTCACATTGCTGAAAACTGACTAATATGTGTTAATATAATCCTGAATAATTCATTGTGACATAAGATATAAAGGAAGATTTCAGGCTTCATCAGTAATTTATCCCTATGCTCCCAAATGAATAGATGACTTAATGGTGAATCCCAGGTAAAAGCAAGAGAATTTTAAACCTTTTTGGAAAATTACTGTAAAAAGTATAAGAATCAAAAGATAGTGGGAAGATGGAACTGCAGCTTAGGCCTGCTCCCTGCTGGCAAGTGGACATCACCCGAGGGCTCCCAGGATGCCAGAGGGATGTCTGACTGCAAGCTTAGGCCCAATCTCTCAGGGAATAGGCCTAAGCCAGCAAGTAGTCGTTCCCCGAGGGGTCCCAGACTGCGAGAGGGCACAGGCCGGGCTGAGGGACCCCCCCCCAAGTGCACACATTTTTGTGCACCGGGCCTCTAGTGTATAATAAATGTAGTTCTTTATCAAAGCTTCACATATTTTAGGAGTTAGCCAATTAATGAGAGCCAATGAAATTTGGGGTATTTTATTGGAAATTCTATGGAGTTTCTGATGAGAGGTTGATTTGGTAAACTTTATAATTTTTATAACTGCTGCTCTAATGCTATGACTTTTCTTAAGAGTATATTATCTATAACTCAGAAGTTAATACAGATAGAAATCTCAGATCTGTATGCAGCATAAATGAGGGCTGATTCAATAAAGGGCCAAAAACAATAATACTGTCCTGCAAAATTGTATTATAGTACTTAGTCTATTGGATTTGTGTCTGGCTCTCTAAAACTGAAGGACTTAGCTTTCATTGTGTTATTAATAA